CCGGGCCTCACTTTATAAACACCAGGAGGTGGAAGTGAGCAGAGGCCCACCCCCACCCGACCCCCTCAGGCCCCCACCCTGGGTGCAGCACTGTGAGGCTGAGGCCACAGCCAGGAGGAGAGAATCAGGCTGCATGAGCGACCCCCGTGCAGGGCAGGCCCATGTTGGACCCCCTCCCCAAGTCCTTCCTTCCAGAGGGAGGCTGGGTGAGGAGTCCCAGGCTGCTATGTGGCCTCTGCAAGCCCCTTGGCTGTGGGCCTCAGTTTCTCCAAGAGCCCTCCCATCTCCTCCCAAGGCAGAATTCATTTAATCCCTGCAGCAAACAATAATGTCATTCCCACTCTTGAAGCCAGAGGACATTCAGAACCCAGATGGTGACTCCGTGACCTTCGCCCTGGGCTGGGGACCACGGAGATGACCCACACCGGCAGAGACGTGTGTGGCTGGGTGGCAAGGACTGGGGCCACCTGAGTGAAGCAGCTGAGTGCCACACTCCATCCTCCCACCCTTGGCTGATGTCCCAAGCTGCCAGGCTCAGAGACCGCCCCCCGCCCCCGGGCACAGCACACTTACCAGGTAGTAGGAGCTGACAGCGGGGCAGGGCAGAGGCTCAGAGTCGGCCTGCAAAAGAAGAGGGCACGCTCACGCTGGGCTCTGAGGACCTCCGCCTGCCGGGAGTGAGGCCGACACCCAGTGCGGTGGTGTCTGCCGCAGGCACAGCCCGCCCTGCCCTGGCACCTCACGCCTCACAGCCCCGTCTCATCTCAGCACCCACAGCCCGAGGCTGGCCCTGTCGCCGTCTGCACTCAGCCGCGGAGGACACTGAGGCTCAGAGAGGAAGGCGCTTGCTTGGCCCCCAGTCAGGGACCCGTGTCAAGGAACTGGGACCCACTTCCTGGCACCCGGGGCCCCTGCCAGCCTGGTACCTGCTGGCTGCCTACAGATGTGAGCATGCCAAAGGGCCTTCCAGGCACAGGAAGGGTGGGAGACCCCCCTGGGGAAAGTCAACCCCTTCCAGAGGGCCTGGGCCCGCCCTGGGCCACCAGCGCCCAGGCTCTTGCTGGCTAGCCCCCTCCTGTCTCTAGCCTCACTCTGCCTGCTGCCCAGTGAGGCAAGACCCACCACCCTGGAAACTCAGTCCTGGAAAGAGGGAGGGAGTGGCCCAGAGGGCAGGGCCTGCTCAGGTTCTGGTGGCACCTGGACTGAATGGTGGCCCCACTGCAGATACGTCCACCTTCTGACCCCATGGCCTTCAGATGTAGTGAAGTGAGGTGTCACTCTGCCTGAGCCAGATGGGCCCTAAATCCAATGACAACCATCCTAGCACATGAGCGGTGAGGACGGCATGTGATCATGGGGAAGAGGCCGCAGTGATGTGGCTGGGAGCCCAGGAGCCACAAAAGGCCAGCCTCTCCCAGCAACTGGGCAGACAGGGACGGTCCTCCCCGGAGCCTTGGGAGGCAGCGTGGCCTGCCTCTGGCTCCAGAAATGAGAGAAGTACATCTGTGTTGCTCCCGCCCTGGGGGTCGGCCCTTCGCGGCGTCCCAGAGCGGATCCACAGAGGCCTCTCCGAGTCCCTTCCCAGCATGCTCAGCAGCATCTCTCGCATCTGACCACACCTCCTGGCCTGCCGTCAGGGAGAGGCTCTGTGAAGCTGCGTCCAGCTGGACCGGGCACCCTTGAGCTGGTCTCCCTGATGTCCAGCCGCCTGCCTCCCACAGCTCTCATCCTGGTCACCAGCCCAGCAGGCCACACTCGGCCCACCCTCAGCAGACGTGCCCGCCCCTCGCTGGCCTCCCTCCCCGGCCCAGCCAGGCTGCTTCCCCGGCCCTGCTGTCGGGGTGAGGCCCCTCACCTGTCCCACGCCCCTGGCGGGCTTCACTCAGGGCCACACTGCCCCTTCCCAGCACCTACAGTCTCCACCCAGAAACTGAAAGCCCTTGTCCTTTCTGGTGGAACCATCTAGAACCTCACCCCTGCTCTGGAATCTCACATCAATGGCACCGTGCTGCCACCAGTGTCACCGTATGGTGTCCATCCTTACTCATGGGCCTGGGTCCACCCAATCCCTAGAGCCCAAGAGGTGGGTGGATGAACAGATGAAAGACAGGCTCGGTCCAGGGTGAGGCCACACCTCTGCTCTGCTGTGACAGCATCCCCGGAGCTCAGAACGTGCGGGGCGGACCTGTGGTGGGACTTTCGACAAGAGTCTTTCAAGGGACTGGTGTCTGGTGAGGCTGCAGCTCGCGCCCTGCCCTGCCTCAGGACCTCTGCTGGGTGAGACAAGCCACCAGATGGCACTGGTCGGTGTGCCAGGCTGCTCACTGAACAGTGGAGAGGTGCCAGTACCTAGGAGTCGTCTGGTCTCCCCAAAGACAGTGTGCTTGGGATCCAGATGCCCCAGGGAATCCCAGGGCCACCCACCGTGGAGGACATGCCACTCCCTCCCCGTCCAAGGGGTCAGGGAACTGAGGGAAGTACAGGAAGAGGGCCTCTGGGGGGCAGAGCCCAAGCAGGGGACATGGCTGGATCTTCTATGGTGGGACACCCTGTCCTCGTCCAGAGGGGACCCACCAGGGCCTCCCTCTGCCAGGCCTGGTGACGGTCCCCAGGGAGCAGGCCCTCATTTCCCTGGCTCACTCGGTGCTCAGCTCTGTCCTGCCCGGAGGACTGCGTGGTGGCTGCAGGGAGATGCCAGGCCCAGCTGACGACCGGTGGCAGTGGCCTGAGGGCAAGATGGGGCTGGTTTGGTGGGGCAGCTGCACACCCCAGCTGTTCTCCCACCTCCCACAGCGGCCAGAGGCAGGGTGCAGGATTCACACTCGAGTTCACCATAAACACGGGTGTGTTTCCCTTCAACTGCTTGAGAAAAGCCCCCGAGTGTGGCCGTGGGCCCCCCAGTTCCCACAGAGCAGCCTGCCCCTGGGGCTCACTGCCTGCCACCTGAGCCCCAGCCCAGCACAGGACACTCCGTCCTGCTGGCCCACGGCTCCCGCTCCAGAGTGCTGCTCCACCTGCAGGACCTCGGTGGGCAGGACGGCGCTGTGGTCAGAAAGCAGGCGGCACAGGGTGCAGATCCGACTCAGGCCCCTCCTCCCAGACCTGCGGCCCACTCTGGGCCTCAGTTTCCTCATCTGATGAGTGGGGCTGACAGCTCCGGTATGGGCCACTTGGCCGAGTGGTGGGCGGGCTTACTCCAGGGACATCTGACCCCTGGGATTCCACTGGCAACACTGTTACCAAGCCAGTCGGGGGGCGGGGGGGGGGGGAGGACCTCAGAGTCCAGCAGTGCTTCCTGTCACACCCTAAGGGCTGGCCCGTGGAGGCGCCGTGAGCCTCATCCCCATGGGTCAGAGCTCCACTCAAACATCCCAGCCTTGGTCCCTTGTCCGCCTCCACCCTCAGAGCCGGCCACTGGGGCACCACCCTCCCGGAGGTCCCTCACCCAGCCCACTGCCCTGTCTGTGGGACCTCCTCCCAGCTCCCGCCGCCTCCACGCTCCTCTTCCCACCCTTGGGCTATGTCCCACCCTGGCATCAGTCCCTGGGGACAGGGACCTGTCTTCTGTGCGTCCCCAGAGCCTTCACAGTGCCCCGCGAGACACGCGTACCAGGACTGGCTTGCAGCACAAGCGCAGGTCACCTACACTCCAGCATCCAGTGCCTGTGGCGCCCAGTGCACAGGGTCACTTGCCAAATGAAATCAGTCATCCAGCCCAAGTACCCCCACTTCTTCATTCCAGGGGAACCTGTCTGCACCCAGGAAGCAGGGCTGGGCCCCGGGTCACCTCTCCAGCCTCAGTGTCTGCGTTGAGAAAGCAAGGGCAGGACGTTCCCTTGCCGGGACCACGCACCCACACCCTCGGCCTGGCCTGGCCTGTTGTCTCCGGGGCTGTGGCTGATGCGAAACCCGCAGGCTCCTTTGTCAGGAGCCCCAGAAGGGGGCAGGGAGCCTCCTCTGAGGGCAGAGAACCCACAGTCCAGCCTGCTCTCCTGCAGAGGGGGCAAGAGCCACCACACCCTCCTGGGACACCTGCTACGACATCAGTCATGCTGGGGACAGACTCTCCACCTGCTGAGGCCAAGGCACAGGGGTCACTTTTTGAGGCAAGGCAGCTGGGCCAAAGCCCCAGGAACACCCCCGGGCCAGGAGGCAGCTTGGCCCTCAGTCGTCAGCTGCCAAGGCAAGCCCTCTGCCCTCCCAGCGGGGACTCTAAGGCTGAGGCAGAGCGGGCAGCCACCCTGGCCACCAGCCAGCATGGCTGGAGCCACCCACCCCCTGGGACCGCACGGCCCACACCATGGCCTGGGCCCTGCCAAGCCTGGCTCTCAGGACCCAGGCCTCGGTCTCCTGAACCACAACATCCAGGGCTGCCAGCCCAGCCCAGCAGGTCCCACACTCCAGCAGAAGGAAGTGCCACGCACACGGGCAGCTCCTGACAGCTGCAGGGCAGGGTTCCACACAGGACCGGGGGGCTTCTCACCGCAGTGTGCAGTGGGCCTGTCTCCCATGAGTGTTTCCCCACACCCACGCTCCCATGACACCAGGACAGAGGCAGGCAGACACCACACCCTGCACCCCAGCATCCAAGCCACTGCCATCCTCCATCGGGGCTACCAATCTGCTGTGGAAGCAGCCTCTTCTGACTCATAGCCTTGTGACATCCGTTCTGCCAGACACTGACACGTCAGCCAGTGATCTGAAAGTCATCTTCTACATGAGCTAGCCAAGCAAGGAGATTACATGGGCAGCGTCTCAAAGGAAGGCTTTTGCAAAGGTCCTGGGGTCGAGGAAAAAGAAGGTGCGTACCTTCAGACATGAGGAAGAGAGGTGGGCACATCAGAACCACTTGTGAAGGCCATGACGTGCCCAGCATGGGCAGATGGGTGCTCCAACTTGCCCTGGCTCAGCTCCTGGGCCCAGGCTCCACGCAGGCCTGGGTTGCATCCCTGCTCTGCGCCCTGTGCTATGCGCTAGACCAGCTCTCCTCACTCCCCAAGTTCTTCCTCACCTCCAATGGGCCCGATGAGGCTCATGGCAGAGCCAGCATAGTGCAGGGTGCCTGGTGAGGGGAACCCTGCTGAGCCCCAACCCCAGAGCAAGGGACAACAAAGGGGCACACTGCACGCAGAAGCCAAGAAGCTCGTGCCCAGTGTGCTGTGGGGAGGGGGCGTCGAGGTGCAGCCCACTGTCCTGGCCAGAGCCCACGGCAGAGGTCAGGTCAACCAAAATGGGGGCCCTGCCTGGGCGCCGGCTACCTCTTGGGCTGGGCCCTGCATGAGCCCTCCACACTGTTGCCACCTGGGGGACATCCCAGGGCAGGTGCAGGGCCACCAGCTCCGACCTGGGCCCACCTGCCACCTGCTGCTTGAACACGACACTTCAGTCTCTCCTGTGCCATGCCAGCCTCCTTCTGGCCCACAAAGCCACTTCCACTCCTCAGAGCTGCGCCCGCAGTATTTCACCAGATGAGCTCAGGGACCAGGGCTCACGTCACCAGACGTTACCCCCAATCTCAGCTCCTCCTGGCACCACTATGTCCCCAGGTCCTTTGCTTGCCCAGGAATCCCACTCAGTACCCTATCTGTCCAGAGGGTGTTCCGGCCCACTGCCCGCAGGCCCGCCAAGGCTGAGTCAGCAGAGTAGGGCCCTTCCCTGCGCTCGCCCGCTGGCGGGTAGGTGTCTTCTGTCGGGACGCCTGGCTTTTCCCCTCTTTCGCTGACACCAATATCTCAAAACTGTTTTCAGGGTGTTCTGTCCATGTTGACGTGTCGGCCAGTTGGCACTGGGTTTACTGCATTCCAGCTTCTCTGTCTTTTGTTATATTTGTTCCTTAGTCTTATAATGTGGCCCAGGCTGGCCTTGAACTCCTGGACTTAAAGGACCCTCCTGCCTCAGGTCCCGGAGCAGCTGGGACCGCAGGTGCACACCTCGGGGGCTCTTGGGAGCCTCGATTTCTGTGCTAGGCTGCATCTTACACCCTCACTTCTGGGTCATCTAAGACCCCTGGAGGGGGCTCAGAAGCCAGGCCAGCCCCTCCACGGGAGCCGCAGTGGAAAGGAGCCAGGGAAGCAGGCTGGGCCACCCTCAGGCCTGGGGCACTGGCTGGACAGAGGAGCTAGGAGCTGGGAGGAGCACAGGAAGAGGTGCCGAGAGGCCCAAAGCAGGAGCAGCAGGCCAGACCCCAGGTTGGGGAACTGAGAGAAGCCTGTTCCTCCTGGGCCTGGGAACCCCAGAGCCTCCCGGGCCTGGTCAGTGGACGCGATGACTCATGGCCACTGGCTCCTGCCCTCACCCTTCAGCATGGGCCCACGGGGGCCAGGCCGACCCAGCCATTCCCAGGCACCCTCACACTGCTCCATTGTTCAGAGGTGCCCTGAGGACAAGGGCTGGCGGCGGCCAAGGCGGGCAGGAGAGGAGCCCAGCCCCCAGTCTCCTTCAGTGCAGTCTGGCCCAGTCCTGGGACAGGAGGGCATGGGTCTCCTCCTCCACCAGCTCCAGCCAGCCTCCTGCCCTGTCCACCTTCCCAGGCCAGGCCCCTGTGCCCGGCCCTCCTGCTCTGAGTGCCCACCTAGACACAGCACCAGGGGCTCTCACAGCAGCTGGGCCTGTCCTCAGGGCTCAAGGTCCTTGCCTGGTGCTCTGCCACACTGGACATTTCCCTGACCTCCTTGTGCTGTCCAAACCCACAAACTCCTGCCTGTTTTTCTGTCCCCAGCTCAGGTCACCCCAAGACTCCTTGATGCCCGTGGTCAGGCCAGGTGACGATGCCCCAACACAGTTTCTGGGCATTCCCAGAGCCTGTTCCCTGGAGAAGGTTCTCCAGGCCTGGTCCTTCGTCAGAGATGCAGATGTGTCCAATCGGGGTCCCTGACCACAGCAGGGTCATGAGACCCTGCAAACCTGGGCTCTCTCATCTATCTGCCCATCCATGCTGTACCCCCCCTACCCAACATGGGAGCCTCAGAAGGCATCACTGGATTCCCCAGGTGCAGGGCCTGGCTGACCAGGTCATCTGCCCAGTGGGACCATCTGATGTTCAACAAAGTACTGGTTCCCCAAGGCCCAAGGGCTCCAGGTCAACAGTGGAGCCTAAGGTGTGGGGTGTGGCCCCCTCCTCCCCAGGGAGACAGCCAGGGGCCAGGCCACCATCAGTCAGAAAACCAGCCAACTGAACTTGGGTGGTGGGGGTGGCTGGCCTGGGGACAGTCAGAACCTCCAGGGCCCAAGGTCCCTCCAGTCTCAGCAGAGTCAGCCTCCTCGTCCCATCCCCAGGGGCCCCTCTTTGAGGTCCCTAATCCCATCCTGGCCCTCTGAACTTCCTACACCTCACACCCACAGGCCTCCAGAGGCCCCTCACTGCCCAAGCCCCTCTGGGTCTCCTTGGGCCACCTGGGCCACTCACTGCACGGCCAAGGTCTCTAAACCCCAGGGGAGCTTTGAGAACAACCAGCCCTGCTGGGATCTCCCTGCCTTTGGCCCACCCGCGAGCTTCTCTCCCTTCTCCCCGACTTGGCCTGGGCCCTCCTCCTGCTCCCCAGGGCCCCACTCAGAGCGCCACAGGGCACCACCTTGGGTACTGCCTCTGAGGAGGCTGGCACAGGCCCTGGAGTGGGTCTCGTCCTACTTCTCAGGACCGCAGCTCTGGAGCAGCTGGCCCGGAGGGCCCGGAGGGCAGGAACCCTGGCCTAGGGGCCCTGCCCAAGGGGAAGTTCCTTTCACAACCCTCTTCCCCAGCAACTTCCTGCCCTTGGAGTGGGTATGTCCAACACTGGCCAGAGCACTTTGTCCTCTTGGTCACATCCTTGAGAAAATGGGAAGACGGATCTTAGATAGTCCCTTCTCCAAGTGGCAAACCTTCAAAGCCAGGCCTGAATCGCGGTGTGCTCAGAGGTGGGCTCTGTCCCTCCCCAACTTTATATCAAGTAAAACTGGGGCCACAGGGGGTGCAGCCAGGCCAGGGCCCCTCCTCCTCTTGGAAGCCACCTCCTCAGGCCGGCCCCACCCCACCTCCTAGGTGGTCTTCTGGGGTCTGGAATGGAAAGAGCTCAGTTGGAGAGGACCCCTAGGAAGATCTGTCCAGAGATTCTGCCCCTATAGCCTCACCTTGGAACAGCTCCCCCACGTGTCAAGGAGCTGTCCTTGGGGGTCCTAATCCTGGAGGCGGCCAGGCACAAAGTGCTGGGTAAGGTATCCCCAGAGCCATCCCTACTGGGTGGCGTTGGATAGACAAGGAGTAGGATAGGGAGGAATTCATGGAGGAGAGTGACCACTGGGCCCAGGGGTGCAACCTGAAGCTGGGTAGGTGAAGATGACCGGTGGCAGGGACTCCAGCAGCAGGCTGAGGCCCCAAGTGCCCATCAGCTCCAGTGGGCAGGGAGGTCTCATGGCCTAGTGCCAACTCTGGAGGCTCTGAGGCCTGCTCTGTGCACAGCTGCCAGTGGTCACTGTCATGTGTCCAACCCCCGGCAACTGAGTGGGCAACCCCACCCCTGGAAACCCCACGAGCCGCACTTCTGTCCCTGTCCAGCCCAGATACTGCAAAGGGTGCCTGCATCCCATCACAGTCACCTCTGTGCTCCTGGAGGTTTGACACAGCACAAGCTGATGGCAGAGGAAGCCACTTCCTGACCTGTGCAGAGGGGATTCCATCCTGTGCCCTGCTTGGTCAAACCCACCCAACTAACTGGCACATAATCCCAACTACTTGGAAGGCTGAGGCAGCAGGGTCCCAAGTTCAAGGCGACTTAATGAGACTCTGTTTGAAAATAAAAAAATAGTAAGGGTTAGGGGTGTAGCTCACGGGTAGAGCCCCTGGGTTCAATTCTCAGTACTGCAAAAATCAAACACCCAGCTGACTGCTGCTCTGCCTGCCAGTGCCAGTCTCTACGCACACGACCTGCCTAGCCACGGGAGGACCAAGAGGGACAGTGCTAGCCGCTGGCTCCTCCTCCTCCAGAAGGGACTTCCTTTTCTGGCCTCACATGGGAAGGAGGAAGCAGCTAGGGTTAGGGAGACAACATGAGGCTACTTCCTGGCATACCTCTGCCCACTCCAGCCCAACCCCGTGCAGGCTGTGTCCCTCACCTGTCCACTCAGGGTCAAAGGCTAGCTCTTCTGGATCCTTTTCCACCACTCCTCCAGTGGTTGCAAATCCCACTTTTCCTGGCACCTACCTTGAGTACCAATCTTTAGGACCCAACACCCAGGACCCCTCTATGGCAGGCGGCTCAGGGGAGGCCAGGCTGACCCCAATCCTGGCCCCAACACACCTTTCCAAAGGAGAAAGGAAACATTTCCCTTCAGGGTGCAACCACCTGGAACCTCATGCTTGGCAGCTCTCTCCCCCCTTCCTTTGCTGTACCGCTACAGGGGCCACCGTGACCAGGCCCCCGAGTGGCTGGGTTCCTGCAGCCAGGTAGCAGCTGGAGCCGGCAAAGGGGTAGGTCCTGTGATGGAAACTTGGAGAGCTTCACGCAAGGCGGTGGCCACAGTACAACAACCTGTTTTGATCTGATTGGAAACCCTGCCAACCTGGGCAGGCGCAGCTTCCAGGATGACAGGGTGCGTTTGTCTCCGATGCCCCGTGGAGAGCTGAACACGGGTGGGGCGAGCCTGGCAGAGGGCTGTGCTGCCTGCTGCTTGCTTCAGGCCTGCAGGAAGGTCCAGACCCAGGAGGGAGGCTGGGAGGGCCTTTGTCCCCTGGAAACCTGCAGACACTGCAAGGGCCGGGCACTCAGAGCCTGTGTCACAGGAGTTCCCAGGCAGGAGGGGAGGGCAGACAGGCCACCACACACAGTGACCACTGCCTGGGCCAGGGTAGCCAAGGAGGGTCCCCTGAGCACTAAACAGGAAGGACACATATCTTGAACAAAAACTGCTTCTGATGGGGAGAAGGGCAAGGTGAGCCAGACAGGCGGAGCTGCTACCTGTGGGCCTCGGCCAGCAAGTCCTGCCCTCTGGCCTGTGGGCCTGTCTGCTCCTGCAGCCTGGGCTTCATCCTGAACGGGTGCACGGGTAACCAGCACAGAAGGGCACAGGGCTGCAGGAGCTCTGCCCAGAGGCAGGCCGTGGTGCTGCCCTGCGCCCAAGGCTGTGAGGCAGAGCCAAGGTCCTCCCCAGCATTCTGCCCCACACTGCCCTTGACTTCTCCCACTTAGGTTAGGGACAGCCAGCAGTGAGGACCAGGACTTGGTCGACCCCTACTCCTGGCTCAGGCAATGGGCAGGGCTCCAGAGGCGGGCCAGGGAGTAGGGACAAAGGGATGGCTCTCTAATACCACAGAACATGACACTAGAGTATAAGGCACCTGTGCCCAGGTTGAGACACTCCCTGAAATGGAACTGCACACCCATGCAGGGTGAAGGGTAGGGAGGCCCCGCCAAGCCTGAGGATATGGCCTTGGTGGGCCTCTCACCAAGCCTGTGCTGCCCACAGTGAGGACTCCTTCATAGCATCTCATTTAATTGTTCTGATAATCCCATGAGTCAAACCTGATTGAACCCCATGTCACAAGACACTGGAGGGCAAAGACACAGGCTGCTCCCAAGGCCAGGGACACAGCTCCCCGTTGGTTTCTGGGAGAAGCTCTGTGCCTCACATGCATGGCTCCTGCTCTGAGACTCCGCAGGGAAGGTGCAGGAGCCGGCACAGCCCTCTGCTACTGAGGGAGCACAACCTGGCCATGCTGAGCACCACCTGGAGCAGGCGTGCTGGCGGGGGGGCTGCCCCACCCTGGGCTCAGCAAGCGCACAACCTGTGATTCACTGGAAGCAGAGGGCACTTCTCGGAATCAATGTGGCCACAGGGAATGGGGCGTGGATACCACCAAGGTGTCTTGCCATTCCCTCAGGGCCTGAGATCTCCCCAGGCCACTGTCACAGCCAAAACCACATTCTTCCCGGAGGCCAGTTGGCAAGGATCAATTAAGTATGACTGGAACCCACCAAGGCCAACCCTTGTGGGACAGCCACCTCTGGATCCTGGGGCTGGAGATTCCATGGGGGGCAGAGGGGGGGCTCTGGTGGCCTTGGAGCTGTAACCTCAGAAGTTGCAGTGCCTGGGGAGAAGGAAGGAGGGCGGGGAGGGCAGCTGGGGCAGCTTCGGCCCCTCCTGGAAGTCCACGCAACCTCATGCCCAGGAGGAACTCACTCTGAGCCAAGCTGCCCCTGAGCTGGCCCTCTGTGTCACAGGCCACACCCCTGGAGCTCATGAGCAGCTGGGAACCTTCTCCCAGCCCAGGACAGCACTGAGCCTGAGTCCTGCAGTGTGGCCCAGGCCAGGACTGCTGCCCCTGATCTACAGTCCAGAAAACAGGGTGGGAAGCATCATCTGCCTGGAAGGCTCAGGTCTCCTGGACCAAGGCCCAGAGGCATATGCTTTCTCTGGCTTCATCCTGTCCTCTCCCTAATGGTAATTGGAGGGATCCAGAGGCCTACTCGGAGGAGAGGACTCCAGGATTTGGAGGGCTCTTTCCACTGATCTCCAGGCCCCTCCACGTCTTTGTCACACCTGGTGTACACAGGCCACTCCAGTCACCCGGATTCATTATCACTCCCTGCTTTGGCTCAGCCCATCCCTGCCTCTGTGCCTGCCCACCCTGCTCCGAGGCCCTCCTCCTGCCTGCAGACCTCACCTTCCCCAGCTCCCCAGCTGCCCACCTCTGCCCAACCACCTACTCCCTCCCCCCAGTACCACACAAACCACCTGAGGTTATCAAAGAGATGAAAGTGCCCAGGACTTTCTGAGGCCACTGGCCAGGGAGAAGAGGGCAGGGTCTGCCACAGTCACTGACCCTTGGTGTCTCCACAATGGAGCTTTGAGGAAAGAACCGGGGAGGTCCCAAGTAGCTCCCCAACACCAGCCACTCTTTATGGACTCAGGGCTTTACCCACATCAGGAACCTGGAAGCCTGCCCTTTGCCCCAGGCCTCTCCAGGCTTGGCTTTTCCCCTACTCTAACCCCAGCTGGCCCTGTCTGGCCAGGATACAGAGCAGCCCTAGGACCAGAGAAAGCACCCCCAGTGGCTCACAGTTACTCCATGCCAACCACATGCCACCAGCAGTCCTTGGTGCTCAGATACCCCGAACTGGAAGCTCACCACCTGGTCTTGCAGATGAGCCAATGGAGGCTCAGTGTGGGAGGCTCCTAGGCAAGACCTGCAGCTGGCAAGTAGCCACCCCTGGACTCGAACCCAGCTCTTCCTTCCAGCCCCTCTGTGGCCAAGGCTGGCTATCTTCTCTCTCCTGACCCTTGGGCCTCCCATCTGTAGACCTGCGTGTGTGCCTGCCTCCAAGTGGGGGTGCTAGTTGGGGCTGGCTCATCACCCTACTTCCTCTGTCCATGTGAACAGGAAGGGCCACAGCAGACCTGCAGCCCATGATCCCTTCTTCTGTCTCCCTCAGGCCAGCCTGCTTAGTGAGCCTGCCCATTAGGCCCAGGAGACTCCCCAGAGAGGCCAGGTTTCCTATCATCACCCTTTCCCAGATGATCCTGCTACCAGTTCTGGACTGGACTGCCCACCTGTCCATCCTTCTGGCCTGACCATCTCCAGGGTGTACTCTAGCATGGGGCAGGGAGCTAGTGGGCGCAAAGGGGGCAGGAAGGGGAGGTGAACAGAGTCCTCAGCCCTTTGGAGCCTCCATCCCAGGCCTGCTTCTGCCAGCAGAGGAGCAATGGATGTGGCCCCAAGGCTGGGCTTCCACTGGGGCCCTGCCAGGGTGTCTGGGTCAAGGACAGAGGAAGCAGTGGAGCTCAGCACTCCCTCTGACCCTGCGGGGCCTGAGGCAGCCTGGCAGTCTTGCCCAGGTCACTTGGAGTCATGCCAGGCTGACCTGAACCAGGAACCTTCTCCCAGCCCAGGACAGCACCCAGGGCTCTGCCCTCAAGACCGTTGTGAAAAAATTCCACACATTTCGTCATGGTCACAGCGGAACATTTCCTGAGCAGGGTCCTGGCTATGAGCACAGCCTGCAAGACCACACACCCTTGTTCATGAGGCAACCCATCTGGAGCACTCACTGGCCTCATAGGGGCACTCGGCATGGTCGCTCAAATGGGAGGCACTACTATCAAGGAATGAGCACACTGAGCACACTCGGGCCACGCACGGTGGTGGAGGGGGCAGCACAGGGCTCAGGCTCTCCACCCCTCCAGAGGGGGCGAGGCCCCGAGCGTAGCAAGGCTGGGCTGCCGGACCGGACCGGCACTCCGACACGCCAAGCTGCCAGCCACTTGGCCATCCCTCGGAGACTCAGAACTCCGCGCCAGTGGGGCAAAGTTTGGATGACAGAAAGAGATGGGAGCAAACCCCCACCTGAGCCTGTGGAGGCCCCGCCAGGTGGTCGCGCGCAGGGGACCCAGCGGCAGGCAGTTGCCAGGGAGGCGGGGGGAACGCGGGACAGACGCGACACACTGTCCCCACCCTGGGGTCCGGAACCGAAACCCAGCTCCGCGCTTCCCCCGGCAGTGTCCAGGTCAGTCCGCGCGCCGGGGCTGACCGCCCGGCTCCCGCCCCACGGCAGGACCCGCCCCGAGACCCGGCCAGCCCGGGGGACGCGACCGCACCCCGCCCGCCAGGGCCCGCCGGCGAGACGCGCGCTGTGCCTTACCGCCGAGTTCTCCTCCCGCCCGGCGACTACGTCCGGGTAGCGCTCGGCCGGCAGCCGGCGCCGCAGCTCCGGCCCGCTGCCAGCCGCTCCGCCCGCCGGCCCCGCCGCCCTGCCCTGCAGGCTCCGCCTCCCGGGCGTAAACCCCGCCCAGGCCCCGCCTGGAAGCCAGGCCCCGCCCCACTCCTCTCGGGCGCCCCGCCCCCTGGCCTCTGGGCCCAGTCCTTGACGACACGGCGGCTGAGCTAGCAATCCCGGTGGTTCTGGTCCTTCCACATCCCGCCCCCGCCGAGAGAAGAAGGTGGGCACTGCTTAAGCACAGGGTCTGCGTCCGACACACAGGAGGTGCTCACTAAATGCAGGCGCGAGACCATGACAACACAGTGTCAACCTCCTGCGTGTCTCCCCCCATGACATCCCCGCACCTTTCGAACCTGGGGGCCCCCGCTGGAGGAGGCCTGGCCACCTCTCAACCCTTGATCCTGACCCTGGGGGAGACAGCGACCCTGCCTAGTGGGTCCGACTCAGGTCCAGAGTCAGGATGGGGCACTGGGGAGGGCTGGGGAGGGCTTTTTTGTTCTTGTTTCCAGGCAGCCTCCCGTACACTTCCCAGCCACTGCAGCAAGACAACAGCTGAAGCACCAAGGCCTCTCTGCTGCTGCCCGGGTGGGGAGGAGGTGGGGCACAAATCCACCTGCAGACCCAGATAACCCTGTTTAGGGGCAGGGGTCTGGGGGAAAGGGGTTTCCTAGCAAGAAATGACTTCCTGGGAGAGCCCTCAGGAGCAGGCCAGTGTTGGAGAGGAGGTGTCCTTGGGCGATGAGTGGGGCCTGCTGAGCTGGTGGAAGACTGGAGCCTTCCACTGAAGCAACCTACTGCAACTTGATCTGGATGGGGACTGGATCCTGAATCCCAGAGCCCAGGAAGCTGTGAAGAAGGACAGGATATGGCTGGTGGCCATGGAGCTGGGGGCAGGACAAGGGGCTAGGCCCTACCCAGATGGGAGGCCAACCAACATCTGCCCTGATGTGCTGGGCATGAGGGACCCAAGTGTGGCAGGGCAGCAGAGACAGGGACTGGATGGCCACTCCAGAGCAGGCAGGGACAGGGGCATTCAGGGGCTGACTAGCAGCAGGTGAAGGACTGGGTGAGAATGGTCCAGGCTGAGACACCTGATGGCCTTGGCAGACAGACTAGATCGAGGGGAAGTCCAGGAGAGTAGCTGGGCTGAGAATGGGCCCAGTCACTGTTCACCTATCCCAAGGTTGCCCAGCACTGGTTCCCAGTTCCAGAAGGGGACACTTGGTTCCTGGATATACCTCCTTACTGGTGAGACACACTGGGGTCAGAGAGATTACCTAGGTTGGTGGGACTGGAAGTGACCAGAAAACTAGTGGCCAGACCCTGAGCCTAGACAAGAGACCAGGCACACCAGAGTTGGAGGGTGCAGGCAGGAGAGAAAAGGAGCCTTTAGCCAACAGGGCATCAGTTTCCCCATGTGTGAGATGACAGGGGCCATCTGCTGCTGGGGACACATGGGAGAAGCTGGTGGGAAGCCCATTAGCCCTCAGGGTTGAAACCACTCTCTGGCCCAGCCCAGAGCTGTTCACCTGCAGCCTAGCTCTCAGAACTGGACTTGAACCCCAGTGACTCGGGAGCCTGCGCAGGCTGCTGATGCTAGTTTTCTCAGCTGCCTGCCTATGTCCCAAAGCAAGGTTTCATGTGCCTGGCTACCCAGGTCTCCCTCTGTTCACCCCACCTAGAGTTGCCTGTGACCCTCTGCCACTTCCTGCCTTGGACCATTTTAACTTGTCCTGGGAGAGGAGGAGGAGATAGGAGCTGCTGGGCCCTCCAGGGCCCAGGAGCTGGGTACTAGGCTGCCTTGCTCCAAATCCTGCTCTCCCAGCCCTCAGAAACGCCTCCTGGGTACCCCCACTAGCACCCCACATGGTTTGCCTCACTCCTGGGCTCATGACCCAGCACTTGTGACCTCAGGTCTGGACACACAAGGCCTGGGTGTCCAGTTCAGCCAAGGGTCTTGCCCCCTGCCAGGCCCTGGAAACCCCCTACATGCAGGGAAATCCCCATCCTTGTGGCTCATGGAAGGGGGCAAGTGGACATGTGAGCAGATGTCACTGAGTCACAGAGAGTGTCCTGTCCCCACAGGGTGGTGGGGAGGGAGGACCAAGACCAGGAGAGGAGGAGAGCCAAGCCAAACATGGTGGCCCCCTCAGGAGCACCAATGGGGATGGAGCTGGCTTCAGATGCCAGGCTGGGAGTCCAGAGGCAGCGACCAAGCTCACTGCAGTATTCGGATGGACCCACTGCCCAGAGGATAACGTCCAGCAATGCAAGTCTGCTGTAGTGCACAGGGCATTGAGGCTACATGGGGACAGGCGCAGCCTCCACCTTGGAGGTTCTGACCACGGGGCCACTCCTCTCCTCCCATGCAGCCCAACCCCGGCCTGCAGGAGGGAGCCCTGGCTGATGCCCAGGATGGCTCATAGAAGCGGTCAGAGTGAGGAGCTGCAGGAGGCTGAGGCCCAAGGAGGGGGCATTCGGGGGTTCCCACCAGAGCCAGCAGGACAGGTGTGGGTGAGGAGGACTTAGCCCCCAGCGGGGAGGGTGTGCAGGACGCAGGTCCGGTGCAGTGAGCAGAGGGAGGCAAGGCCCCTGGCTGGACAGAGAGGGACCAAGCCTCTGCAGAGCACCGTGGGAAGGGCACACAGGTGAGGCCCACAGGGATCTGGTCCCCCATGTGCCTATCCCTGGCATGGATTTGAATGGTGGGTTGTTCCAACAAGGTCTCCTCACAGAGGCAGGCCTATGTTGGCCCAGGCCACTGCTACACCACAGAGCTAAACACCTACCCAGAATACAGTAGGAGCTCAATAAATGGTTAATGGATGAATAGATGAAGCCAAATCTGAAAAGCTCAAAGAAAGTGCTATCTAACTGGGTTCCCGTATCCAGAGGATGCTGGGTCTATGAACCTGCCCTCTCACTTGTTCCCATCCACAGGATGTGCCCACGGTGGACCAACCACCTTCTCACCAGGCTGCCTCACCTTGGCAGGGCTGTTCCTGGGTAGGGCCAAGGTCAAAGTCTGCTGGGTTAGGGACAGCAGGGGCAGGTTCCCACCCCAGGGGAGGCTGGCAGGAGTCATGCTGGGAACTCCCTGGTCATCAGGGAGCACTGAAGGGATGAGAGAGGCTGAGGGTGAGCTCACTGGGGGACCATCTACCTGGGAAGAGAAGTCTGGGAAGGAGGTGGCCCAGTTGTGAGGACAGGGTCCAGGGCTGGTCCTTTGCCAGGAGACTGAGCTAAAAGCACACACACCAGGGATCTGGCCCAGGCAGGAGCTCCCCTCTGGGCCCCTGGCCTTCCTTGATCCCAGACCTTCCCACTGTGGCCCTCTCACACTGGCCTTGCCCTGGCTGGGAAGAGATGAGAGCAGCAGAGGGGACAGGGTCAGAGGGTGGTTCACGAGAACCTGTGTGGCAGGCCAGAGGTGGGGAGGCTGTCGTCCCCAGGTCTGCTCAGGTCTCAGCCATACTCCAGGCTCGAGTCCCTCTGCCCTCCAGGCCCTCCTCTATGCCTCTTAGGAGAAACAGCCTCATCTTGCTGCCTGAGGCTGCCTGAGGCCCACCCATGCCCTTCCCTGGGCCAGGGCCCTGTTGGTCAGCTCTGGGTCCCCAGGCTTGTTCAGCCCGGGGTCCTGCTCAGAGTCTGACCTGGTGGTTAACTCCAGCTTATGTGCTCTCGTGCCTACCGCTTCCTGTGCCGAGGACAGGCCTGGCTTCTCCACCAGCTGACAATGTCAACAGAGGCTTTCTGGGGACAGTGGGACCAGGCTGGGCCCAGATGACCTCGGCAGCTCTTCTGGCAGGAGCTCAGCCCTGGAGGGCAGAGAGGAAGGTCTGAGCCAGAGCCCTGTAGATCAGGCCACCTAGGTGTGCAGAGCAGCAGTCCTCAGGCTGTGCCTGCCCCCGTGACTCCCTGTGTACAGAGCAGAAGTTCCCAGTTCAGCCCCCCACATCCTCTTCTCTTCCCCAAGTGGGACTGCCCTGCACCCCTAGCCCTGGTTGGCTGCTGGCTTTGCCCTCCAAGAGGTTTGGTTGGGTCAATTTTCTATGTAAAATGACAGCGGGAGGCACACCCTCCTAGGAAGTTCTGTTTAAAAACACCAACCCCGTGGGTTGAGGCCCGGCCCACGCACACGCTCCTTTTCTATTTTTACACCTAAACCCGCCTGCTCTCAGGCCTCGCAGCGACCGGGTCTGGAACATGAAAGCAGCCTGTTCTATTCTGGGTTGAGCTTCCGGCCCACGGTGTGGAGGAGGAGAGTTTGCACACACAGAAGGCTTCTCTCCCCTCCACTCCCCCCACCTCTTGACACCCTGTCATCCACGTGACCTCCAGGAAGGCACTGGGGTCTGGAAGGGGAAGCCCACGGAGCCAGGGTAGGGGAAGCTGTGGTCTTCCCAGCGTGAAGGTCCACATCCTCTCCAGGGAATCCACCAGCCACCCAGATCTTTCCCTAGCCAAACCTGGACAACAGGCTCTGGGACAGGTGTGAGGTGGTTGGAGAGCGGGCCGCGCCCTCCCAGGCGGCTCCATGGGGTGCAGAGCAGCACTTTTCAGGCTGTGCCTGACCCTTCACTACTCCATTTTGCCTCTAAGTGCTGACTCTAACTGGAAGATTCCACACCTTGTTGTACAAATGAACAAGCACCATCTGCTCAGCACCACCATAAGGCACAAACTGGTGCATGAATTACTTCTTGTGATAGTAAGAATGACCACCTGTGGACTTATCAAGTTATTCAGAAGCACAGGGTGCATAGATGCATCAAATTCATATCAGAAAATCCAGGTCCACAGGCCACATGCTTATCAGACACTCCAGACCACCAGTTGATACAGCCCCCTCACTCATGGCCTCTAAAAGGAGGGTCATCCCAAGACTGACCAAGCGGCATTCTGACCTTGTCACCTGGTCACTCACCATGAACTTTGCCCAGGAAATCACCATTGCCATAGGGACAAACCTCCAAATCTCTGGTTCACATTGAGGAGTTGGGGTCTGCACCCAGGAAGTCTGTCTGCAGAGCCCATGCGTGGCTCAAATTGACCCATACAGAGAGGGGCTGCTTTTGTTTATTTCATTCTGTAAAAGTCTGAAGACCGCTTATCTCATTCTTTTTTTAAAAATATTTTTTAGTTGTTGATGGATCTTTATTTTATTT